TTGTTTTACAGGCTGGGCTTGCTGCCAAGTCTGTTCCATGCACTTCCCTGGCCCACTAGGGCAGCTTTAGGCAACAGCTCCCTTATTTATGTTACTGCTGAGAACAGCCAAACTGCTGCTTACTATTGAGGGAGGCACCATCTACTCATTTCTCATCCATTCAATGACAACATTACTTATTTGCCTACTCCTTCATGGGACACACACACTCATTTGCAACTGTGGAACATAAACAAAAAGAGAATGACCATTTTTTAAGCATGGACTTTCTTTTTCCCTCCTGAGGAAAAACACAGTTTATTTCCATTTTTCAGAAGTCTATAAGAGAATCATCTGCATAAATAMTTTGAATCCTGCTGTGTCCCACATCCCCATGCTCAGCATGTCTTCTCATACTACTGGTGTGCCCATTTCCCAAGAAAAACTTCCTTTAGGTAGCATAACAGGAAATAATACAACACATATTGAACATGTCGCCTTCCCAGGATTACCAGCTTCAGCTACGTGACCTTTCAGGCCAGGCAACTCCAACATCACTGATAAGGGATTTAYTCCAGCAAACATTTTCCTTTGTTTCTCCCTCAGCACCTCCAAGTTTTCTTGAAGTCACAAGGTTCTTGTCACAGACCCTCTATTTTTGGTCAGATGCAGCTGTTTGATTCCCCCTCCCCTCCACGAACAGATAACATAACCCCAGCCTATCACTGATTTGCATCGTCTTCCTCTGTGTCACTCTTTAGTGCGCAATGACACCAACATGCTTCTCCCAGGCCTTAAAATAAAAGTGAGGGTAGCTCAGTTAGTTCAGGTAATGACTTTATTCTATTTAATGCTTACTACAAAAACACAAGAAAAAAAACACATCACTATTTCGCTATCCTTTGTTTCCGGAAGAAGAAAAAGTATCAAGTAACCTTTCCATTCATTGCTTGTAGTCATACTAGTAGATTTTAGTCTTAACGTACAGGCATTCTTGTTTGTAAGGCAAATGTCTACAGGTCAGCAATGACAACTGTATATATATATCTCTATGTGTATATATGTGCGCACACACACACAGATGGCATATATATGTATAAACCACAAAGTTCTCATGTGAGAGCCTTATACATTTATATAGACAATCRGAGACAGAAAAAGATCTCAAAGGAAAAGCTTCAGACAAACAGTACGGGTGTACAGACTGGGCTCTTAAAGAAAGATTTCAGAAGTTCCTGGCTCCATTCTGCTCTTTTCAGCTAAKGAGAACAGACTCTGGAGCAGTTATGGATCAGAAGCACACGACAGCAGTGACTGTCAATGCGAGCAGCCCTCACACAGCTCGCACCTTGTGTGCACCCATCAGTGCCAGGATCCAGGTCTAATTTCCCACTCAGTCTAATCTGAGACTGCTTTCTTCTCCACCACCACTTTCTCATTCCTGCCTCCTTCACCAACTAAAGAAAGAAGAAAAAGTTCAAGCATTCACTGCCGACTTCTGCAAATAGTTTAGCTCCTTTTCTGCTCTTTACCAACAACTCTAACAGCAAAGRCTCGATGAATGCAGATTTAAGAAGAATACTTCAGATACTAACAATCAAAGCAAGGCTATAAACACTAATATTATGCTGGCATTTCAGTACAGGCCATCAATTTGAAAACTCTTAGTACACATCCCTATTAAATGACACACACACAATGCAAATTTTGCTCCYGAGAACTCCGCCTAGACAACGAGAGAAAATTCAGTGCCAGCCATTTCTTCAAAGCACTTCCCACATGGGCAGGAGAAAACTGCTGAGCAGCCCAAGCATCTCACGGATGCTAACAGAGGAAGAAGGTCAGATACCGAAACTTTAAAAAGAAAAGCTCGGGTATCACTTTGATGGACACAAGTAAAACACATATTTCAATCTCAAAATTGAGCAGCAACYCTAAATCAGTAACCTCATGAACTGAAGTGAGGAGAAGAAAAAAAAAATCTTCAAAAGAGGAAAAAAAAAATCTTGAAAAGAGATTCCCCCCCTCTCAAACAAATGCAATTCTAAATCCAGGTATATGGTCTTTTATTCAGAACAAGGCTCTAGTTTGCAAAGATGTTTTGAATTGTCACTAAATTCATCACAGATTCCAGATTCCTTTTCAAGAGGCAAGAAAGATTGTGAAAAATAATTCATCAAACGCTTGCTACATAGTATTACTTAACCAGATATTAAGTCACAGGAAATACCCAAAACTTCTTTTCACTTTACGTTTCATGGTTTGTAAGTAAATGCAACAGACTTTATGAACAAAACTCCAAAGAGGATAATTTTACACTTGCCAAAGTACACATACAAAAAATCTGTACTTTTAAAGCACTAATATTCTGGGAAAACAAAACACAGATGATTACTCAAATTGAAAGCAAACGTAGTGAGATTTTCTCCTGCCTTAACTCATAATCAAAGAATACATGTTGTACTTGTGCACAGTACTCCTCAGCCTCAACAGGGATTTTTAACAGTTACAGTTGAGGGCAATAGAACAAYTCACTTGCTTTTTCCCCAAATTACACTGCAAAACGGCAGCAGGGGGAGAGGCAAGCTCCTCTGAAGGCCAGAGCTGCTTTGCCAGGCACAGCAGCAGCCCCACACCACGCAGAACCGCCCCACGTGTTCCGAGCACGGAGGGACAAAAACACCAAGTTACCCGAGCACAAGAGCACCCTGGCCCAGTTCTTTGCAGATATTTTAAATGTCAAGCCAGGTTTCATCAAAAACTGCCCAGTGCCCAGCTTCCCTTCAAACCATCTGAAGGCCTTTTGACAATTTCATGTTGAGAGCAACATGAGCAAATTGCTATTTGAAATACTACATTAAATGGGCGATCTCTTTGATGTTACRTGGGGTATTGCTGCAAAGGTTGTGGTGTTAGACTAGGGACTTGTAACCACCTCACACCGTAGTCCTCCTCAACAGGAACTACACTGTTTGCATCAAGCACACAAGCACTGCAGTCAAACACTAGTCTCAATTCCTGCCACTTGAACCATACTACAAGAGCATTAGTTTGAGTACCGTATAAACAACAGAGAAAGTGCTCTGTGTAATCAAAACTGGGTTTATTTCTCTAATTGTCTCTTTTTAATGACACAAGACAACAATCTACAGATCTGGATTAGAAAAAAACTTGAAAAAATATATTTATGTAGGCACAATCATAAATGAATAAAATCCTTACAAGAGTGCAGGTAGTCTTGGCCAGGTAAAATTAAAGTGTTATTTTCATGTTTTTTCCACAATAAATTTGTACTGGGCACTTCTTTTATATGCAGAGTGATCCTCATCCCAAATATCTATAAATGTAGCAGAAAGCATATGAGCTTGTCTTCAAATATCATGGAAAACTTGGTAATTTAAATATTATTTACCTCAAGTAAGTTTCCCTACCATCTATATTTTACTATCAGCATATGCAAGGAAAACAAAAACAAACCCTTTGCACGTACTTTGCTGCACAACTGACAACAGCAACAAGTTGTAYGGAATTACAAAAACTGCTTTAGGGAGAAGTAAGAATTTTAGTTCATCRAACCAATATACTTGGATAAGGCAAAAACACAAGATTTAATGCACAAGTCCCTACTTATACAGTGTGYAGGGCCTGATAAGTGAAACAGAGGCAGAATTAGCAGCTAATCTGTGGCACACTTGGAAGGAGGGACCTATTCAAACCCTCCCACCTCAAGGCCAGCCTTTTGCAYAGCAGGACAGACCTTGAGTATTTCACAAAACAGTGAAATTACTGAGTTATGCAGATGAATGCAGGGTTTAGTTCTACCCCTAAGCTACAGGCAATGCATCAGTTCCTGATCTGAATAAAACAATTACAACGTACATACAAAAAAGAGAAACSAAAAACCTATAAAGCATGAGAATTTCCTTCTAGTCAGTGATGTCTCAACTATTTGTTAATGGTAGTTATGGTTAATGTAGAAATGCTGCTATAATGCAAGGATTATGCATGTAAATTGAGCAGTATTTCTAGTTTTCTGGGCAACTTGTTTTCCCATTCTCATCTGTCACTGCCCGAGTAGTTTAGATTATTAGCGTTACGTGAAAAGAATCGTAAGGAGAAGTGACTGCAATTATTCCTGTCATAATTTATTAACGCTCCCGAGCGTTTCTCCTCCGACTCGTACGCATCCCATTCACACGGCACCACAATACATTTATTTCGGTTAGCAGAAGTCAGGCCCCTTCCCGAAAAGCATAATTTGTTTTCCTAATATCCCCATCTGCCAACTCCACTAAGTTGGAAATCCGAAAGGAAAATTTCCCCTTCTTTTTAGCAATCTGCAAGCTGAAAAAAAAAAAAAAAAAAAAAACCCTTTCGAATCTCAGAAGTCGAAGACATTTTTAGAAACCAAACCAGTCCATGCTATGGACTGACTGTGTCCAAGCGTTTTCCCCCCCGGATCCCTTTGCACTCCACAAGTAGGAGGACAAAACAATATGGCTGCATCTTTCGGCCTGGATACGGGCACGTTTGCGCCCTACCTCGCCAGCCCGCTGCTCACGTTCAGGGCAGAGAGCAAATCCAAGCCAAACTCGTTCCCAGCAGGCCGGGAAATGAATAAGTTTCCATGCCGGCAGCGTGACAGGGAGCTGCGGCGCGGCCCCTCACCGTCCGCAGGGGACACTTTTACCCGCTGTTSTTCAAGGGAATACCGTGTTCTCCCCCGACGGGACGGGACAGCCGGGACACAGCGGGAGCGCAGCGCGGGGCAGGGAGCCGCGCAGGGCGGGCCCACGGGAGCTCGCCAAGCCCCTCCGGCCACGGCGAGCCCGGTTCGGCCCCGGGGACGGCGGCACCGAGCCCGAACCAGGCGCCGCGGCAGTGACCTTGTTCTGCCGGCGGCGCGGCCTGCGCCCCCCCTCCAGCTCCCCGCGAGGAAAACAGGAAGCGGAGCCCCCCCTCCGCCGCGCCGCCGGGACGGGAAGCGGCGCGACCCGGCGCGGGGGACAGAGCTCACGCACCTGCAGGCCCCAGCGGCGGCCCGGGCCCCGGCTGCGCGTCCTCGCCGAAGATGAGCCTGAAGTCGAACTCGTCGGTGGCGCCGCAGTTTGCCGTAGTCATGGGTTTGGCCGGCGGAGCCCAAGCGCGGAGCCCGCGTCGCGTCGCCCCGCCGGGCTCGCCGCCGCCCCTCAGGGCCGCCTCATAACAAGCGGGACGGAGGCGCGGGGCGAGCGGGAGCGGCGGCGGCGGCCGCAGCGCGAGCTCCCTGCGCGGCCGCTTCTGTCACGCAGCGGGGAAGGCGGCGCCGCCGGCCCCGCCCCCGGCCCCGCCCCGCGCTCGGCCTTCTCACGCGCCCGCTGACGTCACGGCACCAACGGCCCCGCGCGGGGCGCGCGCGCTGCCGGGAGCTGTAGTTGTAGGCGGCGCGGGGCGGGGCCGGGCGCGGGCGCCCAATAGGACGGAGCCAGCTGAGCACAAGGGGCGGGGCGGCGCGCGCGCCTGCCACGTGTCGCTCCGCCCCGCCCCGCCGCGCGCGCTCCCGCCGCGTCCGTTACGCGGCGGTTGCGCGCGCGCCCCAACCGTCGCCCGCCCCCCGTCGCGCGCGGATCTCCACCTGCGAGGCGAYAAAGGAACAAAAGCCTTGCGGGGGGAAGGGACAAAATTTCGTTATTGGCGTCCTTAAAAAAAGCGCACGCATGCAAATGGTGGCGTGTTGGTATAGTGGTARTTAATAAGCAAATTAATTAGGGTGGTATCAGCTGGGGGATGTAACTTGCACAATACATGCGGGCTGAGKTATTTTCAAGTGTTGGCTGCTTACCTTGCTCCGTGGAAACGGGAGAAGTGAAGCAACTGTCATGAGGGAAATTAAAATACTTCTTGCCATGTACAGCCATGGGTAAGGAGAACCAAGGAGTCATTAAGAAGAGCACAGGCATTTCGGAGGGCTCAGCCCAATAAACAGTGTGACTTCACCTCACGTGGCAGTTGAAAGCAGGACGAGAGTAAAAGAAAATCCACAGGTTGTCCTTTCCTCACAGCAGGAGTCCCCATGCTCAGCAAAGGGGAACACCAGCGAAAACTAATTGCAGAGACCTAATGAGTTTGGAGCTTGCACAGTAAGAAATCCCACAGCAGCCTTGTGCATCCCCTAGCATACCYTGCGCAGATAGGAAAAGCAACTTACTTCCATGCACAGTGTTTTTTTATGCAGTTACTTTATTTTGCCGTGTTTGTTGTTGTTATTGCTGTTTAGACGTCTCCAAGTCTTCACAGCCAGATGTTCTCTTTGAAGCCCTGTGAATGAAAGCGAGGAAAGAAGCCAGCAAGAAGAGCAGTGGGTTCCAGTATAAAATCCTCATTCCTGGAGGCTCCTCAGAGTCCAGTTAATTCCATCAATCCCTGTGCTCAGACTGGTACTGCAGAAGGCAAGCGTGAGTGAAAGCTACTTTGTGCCCTCACAACTCTGATGAAAACAAAGCACCGCATTAAAAAAGAGAGAACTCAAGGAGGAGTTTGTCCAAGCACAAATGTGCTTATAGTGTACCAAAGAGCAGCTGTGCTTCCACAGTTTGCTTAATATCATAATACATAATCCTTTTTATTGTTACTTTCTGCCCATGACTAGCTAGTCCTTTACCTAAACATATAGGAGCACCTACAGGTTGCCTGTTCCTGCAAGGCTCTGATGAGGAGGTTGATGCTCTTGCCGGGGTAGCCAGTTCCCTCCTCTCCCAAGGGAAGCCCAAATCTTCAAGATAAGCTCACGCCCAGCTGGCCCATAAMCTCTTGTTGCCTCTAAATCCAAGGTCACGTAGCAGACAAACTGGAAAAGAGTGTGTAATTGGATTAACTAAGGCTTAGAAAAAATAGTTTTCTTGAATTAAAACAAGTCTACAATGAACATTTCATTATACTATTCTTTCTAGAGTGTGGCTCTTAACATCTRTTTTTTTGTCCGAAATCTTTCAGGCAATCTTTTAAGTTTTCAAAGCAGAAATATTAGATTGGTCTTATTGTTAGATAATTGTTGTGTCAAATTACAGCACGTGGAGTAACCATAGCAGTTTCCTGCTCTGATCTACCAGTAGATTATTCATTATGCATGTCCCTGGAGAAAAATACAGGCTCGTTCTCTCTACAAGTGGCACTGGAACACAAACAAGCATTTGCACCGGGTGCTTTGGTGAGGTGCTCAGAGCATATTTCTCGTCCGCGTGCTGAATTAATAATTGGCACATCGTTGTCTCGTTCCTTTCCCTTGTTGTAAGACAGATCTTTTCTCCCTTGCTTAAGCCAGGTATTTGTTCAGAAATCCATGATACATTAAAGGTCGTTGGGCAGTGTTTTAAGTCCTACCTACATTTCAACAGCTCTCAGTTAAAAGGGAAAAAAAGATAGAGAGCCTAAGATGGAGCAATTGGTCACATCATGGCCTCCTAGCTAATAATGTAAGAATCTAGTCAAAATTGTAAGCAATTTGTGCTTGTTTACACACATAGTACAATGTGTATAAACACATAGTACAAAACAATAACAGCAATGCTATTTTTATTTCAAAATCAAATATGTCCAACTCTCTAAGTCCACAACTCCTGCTYCTGCCTTTGCTACGTTTTCATTTTACTGCCTCTCTCCTTCTGCACCAAAACGGGCATCCTTTTTGCATTTAAATCTGCAAGAGGAAAAACTCCTTCAAAGCCTTTGCAAAGAGCTGGAGAGGAGCTGGGGCGTGACGGAGCGCGCGTTGGCAGGAGCCCTGGCCGGGCTGACGTGGGGCTTGCATCAATTTCTGGGGCTTGGGTCACCCTCCGCGCCTCAAGTCCGCAGCACGGGTGGCTGATCTGGCTTTCGCTTGCTAGTGAATGATGAAACAGCGGCAGGGGCCGGGACAACTGCATTTTGCTGGGGTTTGTGTCAGGAGAAGCACGTTTGTTCGCTTCACATGCATGGAGGGTTGCTCTCCTTGCTGCTTTTAGGCTGGGTTATTGCATCCAGATGGAGATACACCTTGATCCAGGAGTTCCTGCATGCGCCTCGAGAAGGAAAGAACGCTCTTCCTGTGGTATTTGAATCCTTTCCAAACTGGGGCTATTTTCTAGGCGTGTTGTGACTTTTGGTTCCAAAAACCTGAGGGCTACATTGTGCTGTGTTTTATTTTCCACACATCATCCTATGTTGGATACCGAGGAATTCTGGAGCTGCAGCCACATCCCAGCTCTGTATTTGTCTTGGAGTAATAGGGATTCCTCCCCCTTCCTATGGGCAGCAAATCAAACCCAGCTGTGCAATTGTAGCCAGACTAGGCTTTGGAAGAAGCATGGTCAGGCATTCGTTCTGCATGATTCAATAAACCAAACAGCCCCAAATTAAGAATATAAGGCACAAGGTTGTATTTCATAGGCTTGATCTCGTTCCCTTTTGTGGTTGAGTCTGGAAGCCACATACACCCGCGTGCCATGGAAAGGGCAGATGAGAAAGCGTAGGGGAGAAGACTAGCAGCAGATAATGTCCTTTGGCTGCAACCACCATTGCTCTTTTTACAGCTACCATTGAAAAAAAAGCATAAATACAACAAGGGATTTCTTATTTAAATAAAGAAATGCAGCAAGCTGCATTCCCAAAGCATGTTTATTTTCCAGGCTGAATATATGCAGTGTCCTCGGACACATTTTAAGAGGGCAGGCAACCCAACTCTCACCACACTTATTTCTCACAGCTACCAAGGCAAATCCACTTTCCAAGGATGAAGAATGATTTTAAATAGGAAAAAGATATTATTTCAGTATAGAGTGTAAGTTAAATTCAGCAGTCCTATAGGAAAGGAGCTTGCATGCTGCACACGAGCTCATAGGTTATTTATATTTAATGTGTGACATCTGGCATTTTAAATAATTTTCCTTGGCTAATTACCAATGCCTGGGTGAAATGTGAAACTTTTGTCACTGGGGAATTAAAAGAAAATAAAAACAAAAGTAGATTGCATAGGAAAATTTTGTAGAAACTTAGCTGTCCTGTTTCAGTCATTAGAATGTGTGGTAACAAGATAAAGTAAAAAGGAGTGATTTGAGTGGATTTGGAAAAAATTAACATTTTAAAGGAAAATTTTCAGACATCCTTTTAAGACTCCCTATACCATGACTGATAATTACAACACTCCTACCTAGAGATTTCATTCAACATTTCATCAACATGGCAATTTGTGGCACTTACAATTTTTTTTTTTAAGAAAGCTTGCCTACAATGTTTGTGTTGACAAACTCATACCCTACATAAAAGCTTAACGAGGTCACAAAGTCTCATTTAACAGTTTTCCCCAGAAAGTTTCCGTGCTCCCCTAAAGCTACTGAAATAGTATTAGTACACATTACTCTATTTTTCAAATATATGAGTCAAATCAGATKACAATGAAGATTGCAACCTGAAAAAGAACAAACTCCTTCAATACACAGTGATGTCTGTATAAAGTAAATATTTGTGGGAACTTTCATCAAGACTCCTAGGTTTGATACAAGGACTAAGGTGACAACTTATTTTTTCACTTAAGCCAGGAGACAGTCCTCCTGTTCGGGGATAGGATTGGGACATASAAAATATAGGTTGTGTTTCAAGCCCAAGTTTCTTTTACTCCTGTACCTTGACATAGGTTAAGGCATGTCAAATGGTGCCTTAGCTTCCCTCTCACATGGGAATAATAAAACTTTTCTTTACTCTCTTTTTATTTAGGCTACAAATGCCTCTGAGAAAGGGCTAGGCAATTTGGGCTAATGTTCTCTTTTGTGCTGGAAAAGAGCATCACCCAAATATTATAACAAATTACAAGTGTAATGTCTCATCATCTAGCTACAGGATCTACACATACAACAATTACGCATGTGACCTGGCTCTACTCTTCATCTGTAATTACGTGCAGTTTAAGATGTGCCAGTTTTTCTGCTTAGCTCAGACATAACTAATTCCACATGCTTACAGCATGCTTTGCATTGCTGTACACTGTAACTTAATGATAATCCTTTCTTTTTTCAAGATTATCAGTAAATTGTCTTGAAAGATAATAGGAAACATTTTTTCCTCCGTTACGTTTCACCATAATTCATAGTAAGCAGCAGGAGAACAGCTATAACTTCGTGCTGTCACCCTGGGCAAGTCACTGCTTTGTCCTTGTCTCAGGTT